CTCTCTCTCTCTCTCCCTCTCTCCCTCTCTGTGTGTGTGTGTCTCTCTCTGTCTCTGCTTCGGAGGTTGAAAATCAGTCCGGGGTGGGTGACATATCGTGTCACCCTCAGGGTACCAAAATCAAGGCGAGCACTCTACCTTCGTATAGGGCTGGAAACGGACTTGTACGGGGTAGGCGTTCATTACCAGGGATCGGTTCCTACCCCCGGCGCCCCTCCAGTCGCCGCCGCCCCCCCGACCCCCCATGATCTCCGATGCGAAGAACCCGTTCTGCGAGATCAGGATCGGGCAGATGGGGGGAAGACGGGGCTGCCCCTGCTCCTGCTGCTGCTGATGGTGGTGGTGTCTTCCAAAAGGTGTAGACTGTGACGGTCGGTGTGCGGCCGAGATGTTGCTCGCGTTGTAGTGGAGGTCTTGGTCGCCGCCGCCGCCGCCGCCGGCAGCCGTTAGTGTCGCTTCTTCGCCTGCATGCGTGGGTGTGTTCGGTTGGCTCATTACAAAGATGAAGCATCTTTATCCACAGACCACAGAAAAAGAGTCCAAAGGATAACACAGCAATGAATCCTCGCTGTTGTGGACGTATGGAGGGCGCACCCATGTATTACTTGTTAGACCATTGGGGGGGGAGGGGGGGAGAGATGAAGCTGAACCTGTGCGGGGACGAGAGATTCACCGTGAGATTCAAGGTGAGATTGACCTCGCCCGCGCCTATGGACTGGTTAAAAAAAAAAGCGATATGAAACTAGCGGCGCCATCGGAGAGTCCTGCACACCAAGAGCGCATCCGATTGGCGTTCAGCACTTGCTTCGCTTCACGCAAGTTTTTTCAGTAAGACTCCTTGATCAAGCAAGAACAAAAGGGTCCCATTGGTAAACAAAGGAGACGAGGGGTGGGTGGGAAGGGCAAAGAGGTTCTCTTGTCCCCTACGGTGCGCCCCATCAAATCGCACATATCCTGCAACATGGTAAACGTGTCGGGAAAACCTCAGCGCGCTAGCTACACAACGAACCCGCTGACACGCGAGGTGAGAGTGTTCTTTCCTACCATGTGTTTTTATGCTTCGTACGCATGGCCGGTCCTCACAGCCGGACACTCTACGACCCAATATTGCCAGCAGCAGCAGCAGCAGCAGCAGCAGCAGCAGTAGTTGCAACACTTCCAGCCCCGCAGCTAGCAGTCGTCGTCGTCAGGCCAAACAAAAGACACTGAGATGGGTGGAAGGCGTTAGGGATAGGCGCCACCCACCGGCAAAGCCCGTGAGGGAGTCGACCATGCCCTGCAGGCCGGCCAGCTTGGTGAGGATGTCCTGGTCTCGCCACTGGTTTCCCGCGCCTCCCGCCCCCCCAGCACCGACCTGGTGCAACCGAACGTCGACCAAAAGGTAGGATATTATGAGGGCGAACAGCGCCAAGATCGACGTCGGTAACTAAGAACGAGGCGCCAAGCCTAGCCAGGAACGGCGGCGCCGAACTGGTGCGAACGAACGTCGATCAAAAGGAGGGTCGTTGTGAGGGCGGAGAGCGCCGAGGACGACATGGGCAAACCGAGCACACAGCGCACTCCCAAGCTTGGCAAGAACGGCGATAGTACGATCACAGCACTATTGAACGACGCCCCAACGAGGACGAGGACAACGACCAAGTGCGTGAACATTACAAGGATATGGCAACAAGCAGATATCCTATGTACAATCTGCAACACATGAGCACGCCCTCGAACGAGTGAGGTAGGTGCAAGACAGCAGCAACGAGGCAGAGTTCGTATGCATACAATCTGAACATAAAACAATAAAAGATCTCGACAACCTGCAGGACGCAGATCTCCTACAAACGAGATACACATGGCAACATCATACCACAACCTCATACAAGCAGCTCGATTCAGGTGGCTTCGAAATCGAACACTTGCGCAGGGCGAAAAAAAACAAAAACCAACCAAGAACCCGTGTTAACTTGCCCCAATGCCAGCCACCGTCTCGCTCAGCAACGCCTCCGCATTGTCCAGAACCACGAACAGCTTCGGGGCGAACTCTGGAGGGGAGGGTCCGCCACCGCCACCGCCGCCGCCGCCGCCGCCGCCGCCGGCGTTGGTACTCACGTTGCCGCAAACGCTACCGCAAGCCGTGTCGCCGCCGCCACGGCCGCCGCCGCTACAGCCACCGGCGGCGGCGGCGGGGGTCGTGGGGCTCTTGTTGAGCAAGGCCTGGCTGCGCCGGGCTAGAAGCGCAGCCAGCTGCCGGAAGAAGACGTTCCAGGAGGAGCACCTCGGCTGCCCGGGAGCGAGAGTGGATGGAGGTGGGGGTTGGGGGGGTTGGGGGGTGAGGGGTACACTCAACGCCGTCATCATACCGGCCGGCTGCGCGGGGTCGGCGAGGGGGGAGGATA